TTTTTATAAATAAGATCAAGCAGAGGACAGAAGTGAAAGGCGATGGGAGAAAGGGGGTTCTTCCCCTCCCAGCAGCTGCTGCGGAAAATCTCACCCCGGGGAGGCAAGTGGTGGTGATCGGTAAGGCGAGCTCGCATCCCCCTCTCTGCCAACTTGGCCATCTCAAGGGCATCTCCTCTGCCTGAGTGGGCTTCACGCCACCCCCACCCCGGGGGAGCAAGAGGGGAGGAGGCACAGAAAAAATTCGGGAATCAAACACGGCGAGACACTGGGCTTGCAGGGGTGTCGCCGGGGCCAGCAGCGGCCTGCGAAGCGTTGATCTGGTGGCTCTGAGGCTGCTCCATAGGGCCGGAGTCATGAGGGAAACCCCGGATCTTCAGGGAGATGAACTGCTCCGTTCCGAAGGCTGCCTCGGCCCTTACCGGCACTGGCGAGCAGGGCAGGGTCACTCCCAGTGACCACCGGAGGTGGGTGACATCTCAGGACACTAAAGAACATCCATCAACCGCCCTTTGCTTCCAAACCATCCACGGTTCTGTTCTGCAGCCGAAGAACCGACTGTGAGCAGCAGTGAGGTGTCAGCGACCGAGGCAGATCTTACAGGGAAGATTTTACTTCCACGCTATGATAATCCCAGGCGTTCTGTTCTGCCCACAGCGCTTTTATTCTTCGTTTCCTTCATCTGTCGGCGATATTGTATTCTGTTTCTGTTTGTGTACACGCGCTGGTACAGTGCCATCGTGCAGCTGATGGGCCTTAAGTTCACGCTTTGTTGAAGGTGTATTTCTTTCAAAAGGTTTTACATTACTAAAGGTAGCGAGTCACAAAATAAAACCATTGTTGCAAATATAATTTGAAGCTAATCTTCATATAATCCACAGTAAATATTTATACGCAGTACAAAAGTGGCTGGATTTGTTTACAGTTTGAAATTGTTGGAGAGAGGATTCCATGTAGATTAGTCGGCTAATCTGCTGTAATCTGCTTAAAAAGCAACCGAAATGGGTTCTCTTTCACCGCATCACGTTAGCCTTGTGTGCGCAGTGACTTCAGGTCGGGAACGGGTTCAAGCACAAACGGGCATTTACCTTGTGGGCGCTCAGCGCATTGCTCGCATTGCGGGAGAGCCATAAATTTCCTCTTCTGCCTCAGAGGAGGGGACAGCTGCGGTGGCTGAACCGAAGCCGAGAGGGGCGTCAGGCTCCCCCGGCCCGTTTCCTCGCTGCAGCGTTTGAACTACGTCGCCTGGGGATAAACTGATCTTTGATGCGGCACCTGCAAGGTGCTTGCACAGAAGTCGCCCTTTCTGAATTTAGTCTGTTTTATTTCGCTCCCTCCTAAGGGGGACGTGTGAGGTGCCCCTGCGCGAGCGTGCTCCCGAGTTAACAAGGACAGCATCCCGCTAGCTTGCTTCATGTTTCTGAATTCCCATAGAATCACACAGAGTCACAGAATGGTTAGAGTTGGAAGGGACCTTAAAGGTCATCTAGTATCAGGAGGAATGGGAAATTACCCCGTATTCTTTACTCACAGCTCAACTTTGCTCACAAAGGAATTGCAGCGCAAAGGTAGAAGAAGATTTTAGACACTCACCATACTTCACAGAAGGTCTCTGGCTGATCCGGGCTCCCACGGGACCCCTCTGTGTAGGGGCTGTGAGGCTCAGGCTTGGCCCTCCGGTAGCCCAAGGAGTTAAGGGCACCGCAGGGGCAGCGGGTTTGGAGGTCCTCCACCCAACCAAGGTGCTGAGCTGCGAGGTTCGTTTCACGGGTCACTGAGACAGCATGAAGGACAGCGAAATCCCCGGCCCTCTGCACCCCAACCCTCTAGGATGGAGACAGCAGCTGAAACACTCCTGAGGCTCTCAGCACTCTTTATTTCCCATTCACCCACCACACCTGGGGCCCACCAGGTGGCCGTCAGCAGAGCCCGTGGGTGGGGAGGATGGGGTTGCCCTCATCTCCTGCTGCTCCCTGGCCTCAGTCCCCCCATCCCGCGTGCCGGGCAGGCCGGCACCCCCGACTCCAACCTGCTCCTCCACCGGCATTGGAGCCCAGCTCTGCTCCTGGGGACTGAGGCCAAGAACCTGCCCAGGGAAACCTGGGGAAGGGAAAACGCATAGAACCATAGAATGGTTTAGGTTGGAAGGGACCTTAAAGATCATCTCGTCCCACCCCCTGCCCCGGGCAGGGCCACCTCCCCCCAGCCCAGGTTGCTCCAAGCCCCGTCCAACCTGGCCTTGAACACCT